CGGGAACCGGGGGGGGAAGGGCGCGAGAGGAGGAAGTCCCCATGGCAACCGACAGGCGGCAGCAGGGCCCAGCGAGCCCCGGCCAATCAGGGCCCAGGGGCGGCTGGAACCCAAGGGCATCTGGCCAATCAGGGAGCAGGGGTAACCAGGACCCAAGAGAGCCTGGCCAATCAAAGATTAGGAGCCACTGAAACCCAAGGGCATGTGACCAATCAGGGCCCAGGGGCAACTGGAACCCAGGGGCAGGTAGCCAATCACGGCCCAGGAGCAACTGGAAGCCAGGTTTCCTAGCCCAATAGTGATTGGGCGCTCTTTAGGCACAACAGCACTAGCCAATCAGGGGCCCTCTGCCCAACTGTAACACAAAGCTGCTGGCCAATCAGGAAACAGGAGCAGCTGCTCCCCAACTTCTCTCACCCAATTAGGGATTGGGGGCCTTTGAGGCCCAAGGGCACCTGGCCAATCAGGGCCTGAGGGGTAACTAGACCCAGAGGCATGTGGCCAATGGGGGCCCAAAGGCCCCACCAGCGTCCCTGCCCAGCCCTGGCCCGGCCATGGAGCCCGGGGGAGAGGAGCCGCGGCCTTCCCGCCTGTCCCGCTGGCTGAGCGCGGCCCGAGTGCCACCCCCTGGCTCCAGGATGGCTTTCCCGGGTATGGCCCACAGCTGTGATGGGGGACGGCCCCCCGTGGACCTGCCTGGGGGTAGGACAGAGCTGGAGGGCAGAAATCGGGCAGCACAGGCGTCGACACACACAAATCCCGTTTGGTCCCCCCTCCGCAGACTCCCCACACTTCATTTCTTGGAATCAAATCTACGTTTTGGGTGTTCGCGCTGGCAACCGACAATCTGCGTCTCTTCCTTCAGAGGGAAACCAAAAAAAAAAAACCCCAAACCCCGATACGTTTTGCTGTATCAGAAGATGATGGGCAGTTTGCAAGTTGAGGTGCTGGCTGGTAAGCTTTGCGCAGTGCTGACCTGCATCGTACATCCCAGCTCCCTCTGCAAGCTGAAACGCAGCTATATTTTCATACATGTGCTTACTTAGAAAATCAAAGCTGCTGATTGTTAGTTTTACCCTTTTAATTAATTAAGCTGTCTTACAGGAGGCACGCTCACCGCTGAACTTGGGTGGAGGGAGGCGAGTCTTTCCTGGGCAAGGATTTTAGGCTTTCAGTTATACTTACTCCACCTGTTATTCGGCCACAAATACCCTGTGGGCTCAATTGACCCACGCAAGGTGGTCTCTGTGATCCTGAAATACTATCTTTGCAGTACGGTGAATGATTTATAAATTGCTGTTGATTTTTCCACTGGGGATTTGAGGAAGGGTTGTGTCTAAATCTAACTAAAAGTACTTTATTTTTACTCAGAGCGCACAAAAAGCCCTGGCTGACAGGACATACAATATCTCAGAGGAGTACCCACCACTGACCCATACCACAAGATCCTGCACTACACCGGCTGCCACCACCTCGATCCGATCAGAGTCCAGGTACCAAGTTCCAGCACCCAGGCTTGGTAGAGGGAAAGGGATTCCCCCTCCCCACATCCCAGAGCTGCCGCGCTGCCTCCGCTGCAGCTCCCTCTAAGCACTGGGAGCAACGCAAGCAGCCCAGGTGCTATGCAAGCCTGTATTCCTGCAGCACTCCCATTCATAGGTCTCATTCTTCCCTAAATATCCCCATGGTAAATAAGCACGAAGACCAAGAAAATCAAGCCGCAGGAACTCTGAAAACCTGTATGCCAATAACTGACATCCTATCATGTTACTAATACACTGTATATTCACGATTAGATCACAGATAACACAAGGGACATTCATAATTCCAGCACACCTCTGCATATGGAAAGCTAAATTTTGCAGCCCTTAAAGTCACCACCATGAGAGTCTTCTGCTCTGCTTCCTGAGCATTTTCCCTTGGTAAGCCAGGAACACTGAATTCTCATTCATATCGTGGTTTTATTAAGGATACACTGAGGCTTTACACAACCCTGGCACCCACTCTGAGGTCCCTTTACACTGCCAGAGCAGCATAACGCAGCCAGCACAAGCGTAAATGAAAATCAGGCCCCAGAGGTCTTTTCTCCCTGCAGTGCAGACTTACAACTCCCATTACACATTTGCATTAAGGCCTGCAACCCTCCATAAAATACACTCGCAAACTTAAAACACATTAGAGACTAGCTAGGCTCAGCACACAGAGGGGGCTTCTGCTGAGAATATTTGTCCTCAAGTATGACATAATAAAAATTTATAGGAATGGAGGACTGCAAGGGACCACCAATTTCACAGAGACTGGAGTCTGGAGGAGCGGGGAGGGAGGGGTGTTCTCCAACAAAGGGGGCCACGGCAAAAGTCTCTTCCATGCCCTTTTGAAAATAACATGATTTATTTATTAGCCTTAATAAATAGGCGGGAAAGAGAGCGGGATTACCTGAATCAGGCATTTCTGTATCTTCTGAGGGGTTTTGCTTCTCCTACTTTGCACCAGGTCTCCTCGTTCACACAAGGGTAAAGTGACTTGTGATGTGACACCAAGTTATAACTGAATGCTACATGGGAATATGTAGCAAATAATGGAGGATCTGCCCCATATTTGATCATATAACCAATAAATAGGAGAGAGGGGAGAACAATGGGCAACAAATGTACAAATCTGCTACTAATAGGACCTGTCTTCAGGAACATGTGCTTTAACTGGGGCTGCTGGGTTAGACCCCCAGCGCTAGTCATCAGCTTCTCTCTCTGCAGATCCAAATGCAGACCTGGCACATGGGAACTGGCTGATGCAGGGGGACCTGACCGTTTATCTGCCTGACCCTGGGCACAGGGTACCGCTGCAGAGCACCTCAGGACACAGGGTGATGGGTGTAGGCCAAGCTGGTACAGCCACAGACCACCCAGCCTGTCCGCACAGCAGGTAGAGGCACGCTTGGGTCTGTGCTGAAGACCACCCTTATTTTATCTGCTGCCTTTCAGAGCTTACTTGAAGCCAGTGGCTGAGCGCAGATTTGCAGCCAAACAGTTTGGACGTGTCTTGACTTGGAGTCAAGTGTGGCAGCCCACCCTGAAAATACAGACAGACTTACAACAGCAAAGCTGTACTTGTGCTGCTGCCTTTCTCTTCTTTTCTGTCTCTATCTCCCTCAACTTTTACTCATCACATCACAAGTCAAGACCTGCTGCTCCTCTGGGCAGAAGGTGTTTTATAAAACATGCAGGCATGGCTGTGGATGGTCCAAAACCATTTCTGGTTTGGGTGGGAATCATGAGTCAGTTTTCTGGGCAGCGGCACACCAGTGAAATGGAGAATTTTGGCCTGCCGTAGGCTGACATAATTCACTATTTTACAAAAAAATCACCTCTCTGAAAGTTTCCTCATGGCACAGGGTAAGTAATGACAAACATAGCCATGGCAATGACTGAGATGATGAATATAACGCCAGAGAAAGCTCTACAAAGGTTTAAAGCAGTTTTCCTTGGCTGTGGTTTACAGTCAGAGGTGGAAGGACTCTGCAGACAAAAGTACACCTTCGTCGCTGTGTGAGGGACCAAGTGCTCATGTCCCCACGCCGTGGGCAGGTGGACTGGGGCAACGGTGCACAGCTGAGAGCAGAGCTGTCGCACACAGAGAGCTGTGGGCACTGGGGCGAGCTGGCTCCCTGCCTAAGGCTGAGACCAGCGACAGCATCCACCTGCTTACCTGGTATCTGTCCGAGTGATGGATGTCATCTGAGGAGTGGGGTGATGCCGTCGGAGAATCTCCTTCCCGCTTGATTGAGGCCGACAACAAAATTGACTGCAAGAGAAAGGAGAAATTCATGCTGTGGGTGTCGCCGAGCTTTCTGCCCCTTGCTAAGCTGTCCTCAAAGCCACGGAGAGCATCTGCCGGGCTGTGGGGCTGCGCTGGGATGGATGGCCGGGTTGTGGGGCTGGCTCTGCACTTCCCATGGGACCCTGCTCCATGAGGGGACCGGGCTGCAGGTTCTAGCAAAGTGCAAATATATCAGGCAACAAAGGGATGGTCATTTTGTCCCCAGGTCTAGTGGCGGGGGGCAGAATCGGTCCCTGCTGGAAATGACGCGTGAGGACCACACCAGGAGCTCACACAAATGACAGGGTAAGGCGAAGGCGTGCTGACGTGGAGCGGTGCTAACCTGCGCTTGTCTTCCCCTCTAAGTGCCACTAAATCTCTCAATAGCTTTGTAAACCGCACTAAAGCTCTCAGCACCTTTGCAGCGCAACTACCTCTTCCTTCCGTAATGATGCTATTTATTTTAATAAGTAGCACAGAAAAAAAGGGCCTTTTAGAAGGTTAAAAAGATCAGTGATATTTGAGACCTAAGAAATCACTGATAAACTTCAAGTCAATAGTAGGTAAGTCTAAATTCTACACACAGTGAACTCCAGCGGGAAAATTACAGCGGGAGTTTGACAGCATCTAAAAAAATGTACACTGAGTTGCAAGTGAACTTTATTATTGGAAGAGTTTGAGGGAAAAATGCAAGTTAAAATTCTAATTTAAAATATAAATTAGCTAAACTAGGCTAAATATAGCCCAATACATTGTAAAAAATGTACACTGGAAATGCAGCTCTCCAGATGTTTGTTTCTGAGAATCAGCTGGCAAGATTCAACAATAAACGACTGCTCAGAGATGTGTATGTTTGCAAAGGGAAGTGTAGATATCATCTGAATTGGACAGGTCAAGTGTGGTGACAACATTATTAAAAAGCGTAATACCTTGGAGAAAGGCAAGTATTCCAGAAACATTTGCCTCTGGGCTGAAATGAAACGTGAAAAAATGTGCATTTTTTGGAAAGATATGAGCAAGTAGAAAAATGACTCAGCATACAAATCGGTTCAGTCAGCAGGATGTGATCCCCCGGGCTCGGACAGCTCTCCCAGAGAGAAAAGCGTGGCAGTGCAGTCGGTGTGGGCACGGAGAGAGGGAAGGCTCGGGATGGAGGCAGGAGAGGAGGATTTGGGATGCTGTGTTCAACGCTGTGGGCATGAGCTGCCAGCCTTGCCATGAGGGCAACAGCTGCATCCCTGTCTGCACTGCAGGCCTCTGCCATAAAGCGTGGCTCTATGAGCCGTTCAGAGATGTGACATCCTGAAAGGGGTCATGGGGGAATTACCTGCTGGGGTGCTCAGTTACATCCCCAGGCACGGTCCCCTCCTGCCAATGCTGAGCGCTGTGCTGGCCACATCTTGGGGCTGGCACACTCCTCAACTCAGCCCGACAAGGATGCCAGGCACTGGGACCAGTGGGAGCCGGCAGGGCTGGGGGCACGCCGCGAGGGCTGCCCCAAGAGACCAGCCTCCACCTCCCAGGAGAGAGACGGGTAGAGCAGGGGCGATCTCCTGCCTCATGTGTTGGCCAAACCCTACCAGTGATAGGTTTTGGTGAGCTGCTCATCTACTTCTGGAGAAGCCCTCTGATAACCACGCAAAACGGAGTGCAGACCAAGCCCCTGCTGTTGTTTAGTTTCTTTATTTTCTAAATGGAGAATGAGGACCATTTTCTGAAGAAGCAGTATTGCACATGTCCTACAAAACAGAGGCATGGGGGCTCAAAGTCTTCAGGTGTGGCTCAGAACAACAGCCCTGATTGCAGCGGTGCTAATGCCCTTTCCCTCCTCTAATAAGCTGAGCACCCTGGAGCTGGCAGGGTTAAATCCGTTTTGTCTTCCAATGTATTCTAGAGAAGGGGAAAAAATACCCATCTCCCCATTCCTCGGCGACAGACAGACAAACCCTCCCCGCCTCCAGCTCCCCCCTCAGCTTCTGGTAGCTCTAATCCAATATTATTATGTGAAAAATGGTTGGGCTAGCTATGGAGACAGTAAATTAAACGTTATGTATTAGTTTTTAGCGTGTGGTCCTGGGAAGAACGCCGGCCCCATTTATTCCACAAACCTCCTGAGCACCATGGCGATGACCTCTGGAAAAACGCAGGGCTAAACTAATCCCAAAGATGTCAATCTCGAGGCCTCTTCTACATACACTTGCAGTTTAGATTAATAAACTGTCTATTTTTAAATTGTGTGCAAGCACTTCAATTCTAAATACCTCGCCGGCATGTTAAACACAGCGTTAGAGATGCCAAGTCACACTTCCCCTTCACTCTTAGGAAACTTGACTTCATTTGTTTTTCTCATTTCCGTGCGCTGTGCCACACTTTGCCTTTCAGGCAGCCGTAGGGGCAGGCAGGGATGCAGGCTCAGGGGCGCAGGGATTAGGAACGGCACTCGCCATCAGGGTGCCTTTCATTTCTGCATTACACCAGCCTCTTTGCCATCCCAATTTTGGCCTCTTTTTTTCCCAAATCTTTC